GTTTCCTCAAAAACTTAAAAAAATAGAACTACAATATGATCCAGCAATTACACTTTTGGAAATATATCCAAAGGAAATGAAAACTCTAACTCAAAAAGGTATCTGCACCCCCATGTTCATAGCAGTGTTATTTACAATAGCTTAGACATGGAAACAACCTAAGTGTCACTGATGGATGAATGGATAAGGAAGTTATGGTATACGGGCACCTAGCTGGCTCAGTCAGTGGAGTGTGCAACTCTTGATCTTGGGTGGTAAGTTCAAGCCCCACATTGGATGTGGAGCTTACTTAAAAAATAGAAGTTGTGATTGATCTATATATCTATCTACCTATAGATCTATCTATATTACTCAGCCATAAAAAATGAGAAAACCCTACCATTCGTGACAACATGGATGGACCGTGAAGGCATAATGCTAAGTAAAGTAAGTCAGAGAAAGACAAATACTGTATGAGCTCACTTATATGTGGCATATTTTTTAAAGATTTTTTTTAAATTTGAGAGAGAGAGTGAGAGCACAAGCAGGGGGAGGGGCAGAGGGAGAGGGAGAAGGAGCAGCAGACTCCCTGCTGAGCAGGGAGCCCATCATAGGATTCGATTCCAGGACCCTGGGATCATGACCTGAGCCGAAGGCAGACACTTAACTGGCTGAGCCATCCAGGCACCCCATACGTGGCATATTAAAAACCAAAAAAACAGGGGCGCCTGGGTGGCTCAGTTGTTAAGCATCTGCCTTCGGCTCAGGTCATGATCTCAGGGTCCTGGGATCGAGCCCCGCATCGGGCTCCCTGCTCGGCGGGAAGCCTGCTTCTCCCTCTCCCACTCCCCCTGCTTGTGTTCCCTCTCTAGCTGTCTCTCTCTCTGTCAAATAAATAAATAATCTTTAAAAAAAAAACAAAAAAAAACCCCCAAAAAACAATCTCCTAGAAAAAGAGATTGGACTTGTGATTACTAGAGGTGGAGGGTAAAGGGAGAAGGAATCAGAGGAAGGTGATCAAAAGGTACAGAGTTCCAGTGATACCATAAATAAGTACTAGGGATGTAATGTACAACAGGATGACTACAGCTAATACTGCTGTATGATATACAGGAAAGTTAAGATAATAAATCCCAAGAGTTCTCATCACAAGGAAAATGTTTTCCTTTTTTTCCTTTCCTTTTATTGTATCTATATAAGAAGATGGACATTAGCTTAACCTACTGTGGTAATTCATTTCACAATATATGTAAATCAAAGCAACATGCTGTTCCTTAAACTTATGCAGTGATGCATGTCAATTATTTCTCAGTAAAACTGGGGGGGAAAAGAGTAGTATAGATAAGTGAATTGTAGGGCACCTGGGTGCTCAGGCAGTTAAGCACTGCCTTCAGCTCAGGTCGTGATCCTGGGGTCCTGGGATCACGTCCCGCATTTGGCTTCCTGCTCAGTGGGGAGTCTGCTACTCCCTCTGCCCCTTCCCTGGCTGGTGCACTCTCTCCCCAGCCGCCCCCCCTTGCAAAAACAAATAAAATCTTAAAAAAAAAAAAGTGAACTGTAGTTATTTTCAGAATGGAATATCAAATGGAAATGAGAATATTAAAAACTACCAATATTCAAAACATGTGAATGAATCTCACGAGAATATTTAATAAATCAGATGTAAAAGCATAATGTGATTCCATTTATATAAAGTTGAAAAGTCTGCACATGATAACACACTTTACCATTTTCTGTTTTCACAAGTTAGGATATCCTGAGGATGACAGTGTAGTAGCAGTGAGGGAACACGAAGGGGCTTCCTCGATGTTGATTATGTTCTACGATCTGAGTGCTGGTTACAAAGATGTATTCACTTTGTAAAAATTCACTTAGCTGTATACTTGTAATTTATGCACTTTTCTATATGTGTGTATTAAAAAATACTTCAAAATTTAAAAATTTAAAATTTATTATATAGTCTATATGTCAATAGCTACCATGTGAATAAATGCATAGGATAAAGACTAGAATGACATGAGCCAAAGGTAGTCTTTCATTTATTCATTTGTTCATTCATCCAACAGATACTTATTGAGCCCCTGCTATACCAGGTACGGTGCTGGGTAGTGGCCATGGCCAGGTACTGGGCACTGCTATCTCCAGGAGTGAATTTCTAGTGTTTTTTTCTTCTTCTTGTTGGATTTCTAAAAAGTTTTATTGTGAATATGTATTTACTTATAAAGTAACAGGACATTATATATATTTATTTTTAAAAGATTGATAGAAGGACAAGAACCACATGATCCTCTCAATAGATGCAGAAAAAGCATTTGACAAAGTACAGCATCCTTTCTTGATTGCAACTCTTCACAGTGTAGGGATAGAGGGTACATACCTCAATATCATAAAAGCCATCTATGAAAAACCCACAGCGAATACCATTCTCAATAGGGAAACACTGAGAACTTTTCCCCTAAGGTCAGGAACACGGCAGGGATGTCCACTCTCACCACTGTTGTACAACATAGTACTAGAAGTCCTAGCCTCAGCCATCAGACAACAAAAAGAAATCAAAGTCATCTGAATTGGCAAAGAAGAAGTCAAACTCACTTTTTGCAGATGACATGATATTCTATGTGGAAAACGCAAAAGACCTCACCCCAAAATTGCTAGAACTCATACAGGAATTCAG